GAAATGGATTGAAACTACCTTTTTTCTGATCTGGAAACACTCCATCACTAATTGTCATCCTCATTCTGATTTGAAACTTTAGTTTTTTTTCTAACTTTTTTAATACTTCTTAATAATTTGGCAAACGTAATGTCCAACTGCAAAATACATTTCACGTATGTTTAGAGAGTTAAAAAGGTCAACAAGTCCAAAAATAACATTGAAGGAAAAGACTCTGATAAATCAGTATATACCCAAATCGTAGAAGATCAGTTTGGCACGATTAATCATCCCGGATTTCATGATCCGCAACTGTTTCCCCGTTTGATTGCTTACTGTTCTGATCAGGTTAGTTAAGCCTTTAATTTTTAAACTATGTGATACCAAGACTCAGTGTTGTCAACTGAAAAGTTTTCTGTGCTTTGAAAATTAAACAAACCAGAAAGATCCTGACAATTATAATTTGAATAAGCGGAATAAATTCTAATCTGTTTTTTCCTTCAGCATTTTTTCTCGGGACAATTATCCATTTATGATATAAACCTTTTTCCGCTTGTGGTAACTATTTTACAACTGCTTGCTTTAGATAATATTATAACTTAAGCGTATTATATAAACATACACTTACATATTATCTTTCACTTAAAAGTAATCATCTGTCACTATTAGATTCATTGTTCTTTAAAAAAATCAAATAATTTTGTTAATTCATCATAATACTTCCTTGTTTGAAAAGGCCCACTCTTCCGTTGAAAAAGCAGCCATGTTAAACGGTGTCAAGTTGAGAAAACTTCGATCACAGCGTGGCGGACAGTATGACAACTTTCATGTAGCTGCAGAAACTTTAGATGCAGCAATCAAAGTAACCGTATGGTTCTTATTCCAAGAAATAAACAAAAACAATTTCGTATTTTTCCGGTTCAAGACCATTATTCTAAATAATGGCTGTTCAATATATTCCAAAAGTGTGGTGTAGACATACATTATTTATCACTATTTTCTGCCTTACATATTGCTAATCCTTAGCTAATATTCAGCCATGCGACAGAAAAATTTTGAGTTGGGTTTTATGCAAGTTGGTAGCCTAAAAGTGCTAGTTCACGTGTTTTCACTTGAAACCTTGCTATCAACTGCTTCGAGTATATAAAGTGCTTTCTACAGGAAGATCGGAGAAACAATTTAATACCTTTTATCTTTATCTTAACCGTTGGTACCACATCTACATGTGGAATTGATTCAATTGACGAACTGGCTCCCATCTGTTGCCGTGAAGGAATTTGGGTTCACGTTGATTCAGCATACGCTGGTTTGCTTACAGTCCAAAATTTGAAAAAGCATGTGCATGCATCGTGACGTACAGTACAGGCAGCACAATAAAACTAACAATTTAAGGTTCTTTTATGATTTGTCCAGAATACCGAGATCTATGCAAGGGACTGGAATTTGTCGACTCTTTCAATACGAATGTCCACAAATCACTTATGATAAATTTTGATTGCTCGCCAATGTGGTAAGAATTTGTGATGGCGCAACTAACTTAACCTCAGAAAATTTAAGTCAGGAAGGCTGATAAAAAATTTCATTAAAATTAAAACCAAAGGGAAGCAAGAATTTTCTGTTTTCCAAATGCAGCATACTCATAAGCCACCAGAAAAATATTTTTTTCTAAAAGTCATGACGATTCATTATTCGCATAAAGTCTTATAGGTTCAAAAACGCTGCAGAAGCAGTCAAGTACTTCAAAGTTGATCCCCCTTACTTGAAACATGAACATCAGAAAGCAGCTATGGATTACAGGGTAAATTTCTTTCAATTTTTTTCGTAAACAATTCAACATTTAAGACGGTAAATTTGAATCAAACACTAAACAATTTTCACTTCAATTTTAGCATTTACAAATTGCTCTTGGAAGACGATTTCGTTCATTAAAAGTTTGGTTTGTGCTTCGCAATATAGGTGTCCAACAATTACAGAATTACCAACAAAAAGTATGACCACTCGACTAGTTTATTGTTTTCACTTATTCTTCCAGCAATTAAAAAACATTGCTTCTCACTACTTTTGAAAAAAATAAACAAGAAAACAGCAGTCACTCTATTCATAAATGTTTTTCAGTTGATCAAACTTGCAATACTATTCGAGAAACTAATTGCCACCGACCCGCTGTTCGAGCTCTTCGTTCCCCGACAACTTGCGCTTGTTTGTTTTCGTTTAAAAGTCAGCCATCGTTTTCTCCTTGATTTAAGATACATAATGTGCCATTACAAATTGTCGGAATCAAGAACAGTCGACAGTTTTTGCCTATTTTAAATCTTTGCAGAGCTCCAATAACGAAATCAACGAGCACCTGTATCAACAAATAAATTCGGACCGGCAAATCCATTTGACTTCGTCAAACGTCAATGGAATATACTTCTTGCGGTTTGCCGTCTGCAGCCCAAAAACAACAGAAGAAAACGTCAAGTACGCTTACAGTATTATTCGCGCCATTGCCCTAAAAATTTCTAAACCGTTGTCAGCTTCAGGATAAAAGTGCACTGCAAAAATCTACTTTGCTGTTCCCCGTATCCCAAAGACACTAAAAAAAAATTAGTTCCAAACTGCTTCCAGACTGCCTGTTTTTTAGTGATATACAATTAAAAAACAACGAAGAGGTTAAAAAAAAAGGAATTATATAATTATACTTTCTTTAAACAGGAAAAAAGAAGAAAAAGTCGACAAATCTTGCAGATTTATATGTACCGAGGAAAAAGAAATTTTTCTGAAAAATGCTGATTTGAAAACAATATCGAACAACAAAGAATTAAGGAGAACAGATCGATGTGAACAAAATTTTCTGTTCTGTACACAATGACTAATCTAATAAGCGTATATACAACACACTGTCTTCCCTTGTCTGAATTAAAGAAATTGTTTGTTTTACCTGCTCATCTACTGCTAAAAAAACTTCTGCTGCACAATACATACTTATAAAACAACAAATCAAGAGAGGATCTTTTTTGACACCTACTTCTGACAAGTCAGCGAAAAAAAAAAGCATACCACAAGGGAACCACCGGCTCATAAACCCCCCGATTTCAGTGACCTACCAAATCCTGTAAAGAACTACAAGTAGTAAGACGTACTGAAGTCTTGAACCTTTTCGCGCACAAAAAATTAAGAAATGCCATATACCGAACAACTTCCACAGAACCCAAAAAAAGTAACCACTGGAACTGTCGTTGTAATTTGCACACAGTCAACAATGGTAGTTCAGCAGAATAACGACCCAACGTCTTTCGAGACAAGAAATACGGGCTCGCTTTACTTAACAAAAAGACAACTCAAAATTTTTCTCACTTGCTTTCCTCAGAATCGACTATAAACTCGAAAAATGATTTTCCCTCGCAACCTCCATTCACTATGCCACCCAATTTCATGCTAGCGAATTCCCGCTTTCTGAGTCAGCCTAAGTAATAAAACGAAATACCAATAATACAAAATATAGTGCTTTCTTAGCAAACAAACCAACATTAAACTCCCCTACACTCAAAGGATTGTTAAAATCATCCTAATGCTTGGAAACCTTTTCACTCTCTCTCTCTCTCTCTCAAAAAAAAAAAAAAAAAAAAA